AACACCGGTACATGTAGCTGAAGTCAAACTCTGGTGAACTGTTTTTTTTATTCAGATTCAGACACCCAACAAGCTAAACCATTCACATATATTTCAAATGTCAAAAATAAAAATATGTACTTATTTGATTGTAAAGACTGCTATTATGTAATGAAGAACATTTGAGCATAAAGAGCTGGGCTTCACTTTCAATTTTTAACTAATTTCACCGTAACACGAGGATAACTTAATCTTGTGTATCTAGCACTAATTTATTTCACATTTGTTTAATATCAAATCTTTGTTTAAAAATTCGTAAAAATCATTTAAAATCCCCCAAAATCATCTAATTTGTACTTGAGTCCAGTTAAAAGCTGACTGATTAATTTTGATAATGAGTGTCCAATTTACAATTATTTAATGATGGAATCCAGAACCCTGATAAAAAAGACCTCATAATAAACTAGGGTCTAATTACATATTATTTGCAATGTGAAAGTAATAATGGAAACAGAATCAGATATAAATTCGAACTGCAATATTTAAGAGATAAGTCATCTGAATTAGTATTTGTACATGTGAAAATAGCCAATACACCATGTAAGTAAGAAGTTACTAGCATTGAAGTAGGAATGAAATGGGTTTAAACACCCTACTTTTCTGCGTTGGACTGGGTTAATGACGACAGGTATACAGTACAGTTTACTCTAATTTTGAATTGTCATGGGTTCTTTGCACACACAGGACCTCGTTTTTTGTGCCATCCAAATGACTAGACACTGTCCTTGCTAGATGCTGTCACCACTGACAAGGGGAAACCATGCTGGAAAATCCAGCAAAACTTTCTCTGCCAACACCAAGATTGTACCCTGGACCTCCTAGTTAAAGAGCTAGCATCTTACTCACTGAGACATCCATATATAGAAATGTGTTGGCTGTACAAAAAGAGTTAATGGGATTCTGATTACTTTATTTGTGTAAGAGAGATACAGATGGCAGTGTGGAATCAAAAAAACAACGTAACAACTTGAGAATTGACGGGTTTTACTAATCTTTGGTCCAAGATATATTTTATAAAAGTGTATGCGATTGCGTATATTGAACAATTATTTTGGCATGTTGGCACTTTAAAAATCATCAAGCCTGGCATGTTCCTTTAACACAGACGTGTGAACAGTAGCGCCCAATCAGAGGTTGTGACACAAACACACTCAAATCAAACATAGTGACCTCCACAGAAATCTTGAACTTTGCAGACATTTTAGCTGGAAAGCACAAGACTTGGTATTCGCGATAATCAAAGACTCTGGGGCAGTACCCAATCAAAATTGGAGCCAAAATATGCAGGGTATTACATAAAGGGCTTGATAAGATGTACAGAGTTAAAACGGGATCAAGCCTTCTATTGAAGATGCAAGTCTGGAGATAAAACACCAAAGCATAGAAAGACTGTGGAATTTATAGCTTGTAACAACTGGCTCATGAGATATTCTCTGTTTTTCAATTTTCATCAGTTTCAAAATTATTCTTTTTTCAATTTTAATTACATTTGTCTAATGCACAAAGCAGGACCATGAGAAAATGTACAAATTTGAAAACAAACACCAGTCATACAGATAGGAAGCGTAGGTAATTCTGTTTATGCCAAACCAAACTACAGACTCGCATTAGCAATATAAATATTAAGACCAAAAGAATCTGACATTTTCTCTTAATATAATCATTTTGTTGCCTCACCACATTTTCTTTGATTCTTACACGTGTTTCTTTTGTTTCTGTTTTTTTTTTTTTTTTTATATTTATCAAAAAGAAAAAACATCTTGTTCCACAAAACTATAATTCTTAATCCTGTAGTATTTGAATGTTAGTTATTTCGTACACAGTAGAAAAGTTTTGTTGCCAAAAGTTTTTTTTTTGTAGTTTGCTTGATTATTATATATTTTTTTTTAAAGTCACTATCCTAATCATGCATTTTTCAGACAATATTAACCCCTCTAAAATATATTCTAATTGATTATTTAAACATGCATTATGCAAGAGCTAAATCTTTCTTTATGCATTAAATGTTATCTAAATTATTAATTAGACATTAATTAACTGATCAAGACCATAATCAACGCTCAATGCCATCGTTAGCCTGTGATATCTAGTGGATTTGAATATGTTTTATGATGGGTAATTTAACGTAAAAATGGATAATCAAGACTTTGTTTATTATCATACCAACGGTAGTAATGACAATCAAAGCTAGCCTAAAATTGAATTGCTAATATCTTGTTCAGAGTGAAGCAATTTGACTGAAACTTTCAGCATGTTTTGTTTTCATTACCACTTTTTAAATTATTATAACGAGAACTGTTAATGCCCTTTTAACATTTAGTCAAGAACGCAAGATCATAATATCAACACTACATACGTAATCTCTTGGTTTCAATTCCATTGGATTAAAAAAGAGGCCCATCAAATGACTTTTATTTGTTGCTGGCTTTTTTGACAATAACTATATTCAATTTTCTGCAGTGGATGACAAAGTTTCATCATATCTTTGTAAATACTGAACTAAACCATTTTTGAACGGATATTCTTTCTAGAGATTCATCGTTAACAATATTGTATTTGGCAAGGAATACCTCATTTCGTCAAAAGATGTTCAGAGAGTTTAAGGTCAAATATAACAACAATAATAATACCCCTTAACAAAGTTATTTCTTCTCAGTTGAATTCTTTCATAAATGAGTCTACACTCTGCATATATATGTGCAAATCTAGTATAAATTTTTGATTTTAAGAGCACTTTTGTTTGGTAGGGGGGGGGGGACTGGCTAACTGACCAGGAGATCCTGATGGGATGTCAAACTGAGGTAGCATGTACACGTTGGCGTGCACATGAAAGAATCCCTCGACAGTTCCCTCATAGCAAACTCTATAGTGTATGCCCGTCTTCATTAGGCCAGTCAGTGTGGAAAAGTAGACATTGAACCCCATTTCATTTCATTTAGTATAATTTACATGCATTCTTTATCTGGTATAATATTGTGAGATGTCTTTAGTGGCATTCCCATATCACCCGTACACCCCCTCCTAAATTTTAACCATACGTCTGATTCCAATAATTCAATTAAAAACATGGCCACTATTTGCTAAAACAAAACACCTACTTTCATTTGATAATTCATTAACGAAAAAATTATTATTCTCGTGGATCCTCCTAGGCATGATGTGGGGTCTGACACGGAAAGTGTCTAGTTATGTGGATGAGATGTCAAACTGAGGTAGCATGGCCATTATTTGCTAAAACAAAACACCTACTTTCATTTGAAAATTCATTACCGAAAAAATTAATATTTTCATGTTTAAATATCAGTTTGGGAGCTGTGGTGGCTCAGTTATTAAGACCCTAGCTCGTTAACCAGGAGGTATTGGCTGAAAAAGTTCCTTAGGATTCTCCGGCCTGACAGTTGGAATTCGAAATAAGAGGAGGCCATAGTGCAAATGCCAACTACAATCCTGTGAAAGCTGAATCTTGTAAAGGAATATCAGTCTACTAAAACATGTTGGTTAAAATATTGTGATGGGAATATTTTAATCACAATCAATCCAAGCAAGGAGATTATAAACCATTAATATATTGATTTTGCTTTAATCAAATGTTAACTAATTTAATGAATGTCTGAAAAATGCAAATAACAATTAGTGGCTTTAAAGATTGAAGCAGACTTAGATTTTTTTAAATCAAAACAACTTTCCATTGTTTTTATGTTCACAGAGAAATCTTTTTATATGGAACACACATGTTGTTTAGATGCAGGTCTGTCAGCATGTCGACATTCTAACAGGATTTTTTCAATAAAATCTGCAGAACTGAACAATGTATGAAAGGAATTGGGAGGAAATCTCCTAGGTTACTGACATGCTCTATGGAAATTGTTTGACTGAATTTGGAATATGGAGGACACATACAAAAACATACCACCAATTACTTCAGATTAAGATTGTTGTTACTTTTAATATTTTTCAGATACAAATTTCACACCACATTCCCAACAGATGATACTTTGTTTTATGGCCAAGTCACTTCTTGTAGAAAGTGAGTATGGTACTGTCTCACTAACCAAGAGGGGTCACGATGGCTAAGTGGGTAAGACGCTGGCTTGCTAGCCTGGAGGTCGGGTGTTTGATCCCTGCATTGGCGAAGAAAGTTCATCAAGATATTCCGGTGTGGTTCCCCCTTGTCAGTGATCCAGGATGGAGGGTCTGACAAGGACAGCTGTGTAGTCCTTTGGATGGGACGAAAAATGAGGTTCCTGTGTACATATTGGCGTACACGTAAAAGATCCCTTGGAATTCGATATAAGAGTAGATTGTAGTGCCTCTGTCCGGGCAAAATTTCCCTCATAGCACACTGTATTGTGTATGCCCATTTCATTTCATTTCATTTCACTAAACAGGAGGTCCTGCCTTCAATAGCCTAGTTATTTCCAATAAGTGACTTTCACAGTTTTTTAAAAGTTATGAATTTTGATTCCTGGTACTATAAATTGGATTATTAGTTTTGATGTTACTTATCAGTTGTATTTTGACCGCTTATGTTCAAAAAGAAACCAAAGATCTGAATTTTCGATAACCTGAATATTTGGTGGGGGGGGGGGGCAATATGATTTGACTTTTTTTGTAAAGACACTCAAGTCAAAAGACCCTTATGATTTTAGATATTGGTACATGTATAAACAATCTAATGTCCTATAGTCTGTCTAATAAACATACCAAACATTTGGAGCAAAATAGCACTGTCGATATTGATATGATTTTAAACTTTTTAGGTTTTTTTCCTTCTGTCCACATATTGGCGCCATATAGCACAATTGGTGCTGACATGTCATTAAATTGTTGTTTTTGTTTTCTTCTGTCCACACATTAGCGCCATATAACACTGTCGAAGTTAACAAATCATAAAACTCTTTTTTCCCTTTTCTGTACAGAAATTCATGATTTATCTATATAATATACATATTATTACTTACCTAATATACCCCACTGTCCAGCATCACCAGTTATCTCCCCTCTATTATCGTCTGACTGTAAGTTATTAGAGTTTATATGGTTATAACTGTTTCCGTTTGATCGCACGTTTTTAGCACTTAATGTTTTATTAACGGTAAACAACTGCGGACCACAGACAGACTCCAATAGTTTTTGATGTGATTGTCTTTCTTTAAATAATCTATCAATGGCTTCCTCCATATTGTTGTTATTACAAACCATGTTACAATCTGAAAAAACAAAAACATGGAGACTTGGTCATCAATGGCACATGAATTGACATGAAAAGGGGTTTGGTTTTAACATATTTTATTACTATAAATTAAAATAATTGGACAAAAGTTACACAGACTAACAAAAACATCCTTTTCTTCATAAATACATGAAATGATTTAAAACAACAAAAGGTGCAAAATACAGAACAGGATTAACATGGCACTGAGGAATAAATCTCAGGATAGACAAAAATGATCATAGGTAAGAATTAATAACTGAAAATTGTTCCAATGTGTGCAACAACCTTATAGAGCAAAATAATGGGGTTTAATGTTCTACTTTTCTGCTCTACGAAGATGGGCATATGCCATGCAGTGTGTTATGTGGAAAATGTATGTGCATGCCAATGCATACAAAGGACCTTTTGAGCATCTAGGTGCTGCTCCTTGCCAGGCAATACACCCAACACCAATGAAAAGGGGAAACCATGAAGAAAAATCAGAGGAATATTCTTGGCAAACAACGGAATCGGAACTGGGATCTCTAGGTAAGCGAATAGTGGTAATTCAAAAACTAAGTGGTCCATTCAAAGCGTTATCACCAGAGGAGCAAAGCCCTGTCTATCAATCAAATTTTAATGCATCTCAGAAAATAACCAAAAAAAATTCAATACCTAGGAACTAAGTGAGCACCTTTGACTACAACCTTTGCCAACGCATTGCCTGTCAATCAAATTTTAATGCATCTCAGATAATAACAATACCTAGGAACTAAATGAGCATTTGATGAATAATAACTAATGATGTTGGGTAGACCAACATTTGGTCAACGACATTTCAGCCACAGCAGTAAAATAGGTGCTAATTAAGAGCTAATATCTGTGGTCAAAGCATCAGTGGCTGAATTATTGTACATTCATTTTACATGCACTGTCAATTTTTATATGGAATTAATTGTTTTCTAAATTCAACACACTTGCCAAACAAGTGGAAACCTAGTTTGAAAGATTGACACAAAGAAGGACATTTTTGGACTAACATACGGTACAATTTTATTTCAATAATACTCTTGCATGTGGGGGTCTTGAGCAGTGGGTGGAAAGATGAGGACTCAGAGAGAAAACCCACAAGGTTAGGCCGGCAAATCTACTCCATGCCCCTCAACTCAATGACAGATTTTATGACCTAAACCACAATATTCAGAATACTAGAAGACACCACCCTACCCCCATGTACCAAAAAACACTATAGCAGTGGAAGTAAACTCAAAAAACAAGGTGAGGCAGGCAACCCTGCTACTCCTTACTATATCAGACAAAACCTACAACTGAGACAGGTCTACGAATTCTCTTCGGCCAAATAAATTAAATTCTGATTTCTTAGAGATCTTAATAAATATACAGTCTTCTCAACTTTGTGCTTTATTGAAGACTTAAAAGATAGGTTGCCAGGCAACGAAATATACGTCCACCACAGCTAAATTGTCCAGGCAGTCAACAAGAGTTGTCGCATAGTTTTACTTTTGTCGGTAATGAAACATTTATAATACACTAAAATCTGATTAAGAGTAACAACTCATTAAGAAATTATCAGAAAATCATTAGAATTTGTTTGTCTCATACAATCTACGAAATAAAGAGAAGTATTTCCCAGATGATGTATACTGATGTTGTTAACTGTTAAGCGTATCAGGTTAACTACTCCTATATTGTTGTATACTGCAGAGATAAAGTTTGCATACTAATCCGGTTGTTGGGTTCTGTTGGGTGGATCAGGTTAACTACTCCTATATTGTTGTGTATTACAGAGATAAAGTTTGTATACTAATCCGGTTGGTGTGTTCTATTAGGTGTATCAGGTTAACTACTCCTATATTGTTGTGTATTAAAGAGATAAAATTTGTATACTAACCTGGTTGTTGTGATTTCTTAGGTGTATCAGGCCAACTACTCCTATATTGTTGTGTATTATCACTGTCACTTCTCTTCATACTGTTATGTACGGACTGTAACATATCAATATCCTCCTCTACAAAATACAAAATGGTTTTTACATAATAATTTGCTAATTTTGAGATTAACCCTTCGACTGCCCCCAAACACCCCTAACCTGGCCCGAAACTGCCCATTCACGGATCTCAAGTGGTCTGAGGCGGCATAAGGTACAGCAGTTCCAGATTGTTTTGATCTGTCCAGGGATGTACCGTTATTATTATTTCACTCTTCTCTAGATTTCGTTAAGGAACTGGGGTAGTCGATATTTAAAAAGTACTGAGTGCTAAAGGGTTAACATAAAATTTAAATGTTTTTCTATGGTCACATGTGCAATGCTAAGAAGGTGAATTTTGACCCTCAACAGTGCTGTATTTGCCTAGATTTTGTCAAATTCCATCTGTCATGTGTACAAGAGTACCCCTTGTCAATCCCCTGCCAGGATTCAAACCCAGGATATTCTAGTGGGGAGTTCAGTGTCCTGTTGAAATACACATCCACATTCACAGTGCATGACTGCGGTGCCTGAACCAGTTATTGCTATTCCCGAGCCAGTGCTTGTTTGTTTTTACCCTAGTCAGTGCTTGATTGTGGTTCCTAAGCCAAACTTTATTGTGCTTCCTTTAGACTTTGCTTGGCTGTGGTTCCTAAGCCAGACCTCTTTTGCAATTTCCACAGTCAGTCCTCGATTACGGTTCTTAGTTGTGGTTCCTGTGGCCAGTTCTTGATAACTGTTCTTAATCCATAGTGGATACCGAATATAAAAAATATGGTAGAGCCCCATTTTAACCCATGAGTTTTATATTTAAGTAGTTGTAAATGAAATGAAATGAAATGAAATGAAATGGGGTTTAACGTCCTACTGTTCTGCTCCTATACTGGGCTAATGAAGACGGGCATACGCCATACAGTGTGCTATGAGGGAAATTTTGCCTGGGCAGCGGCACTATCGCCTACTCTTATATCGAATTCAAACTGCCAAGGGATCTTTTACGTGCATTCCAATGTATACACGGGACCTTGGTTTTTCATATCATCCGAAGGACTAGACAGCTGTCCTTGTCAGGCTTATGTAGTTGTATACTAACCTACAGGACGTAGTGAAGGAGAATCTATGTATGTAGATAAAGTAGTAGAACCGTTTTCATGACTTTGTATTAATCCATGTTGTGTAGATATTTGTTGGTCTGTATTTGTTACCATGCCATTGGTATTATACCTGAAAAACAAAATTCATTTGCTTGATAAAGACCAGGGTTGACAGCGCTAATTTCCAATTTCAAGAAATTCATTTTATTTCACTCTTTGATTTGTTGCACCTCCTGAAACAGATGACTGGGGCCAAGAGTACCATCATCGAAACATTTCATATTAATAAACCAGTAATTGTTATTCCATAAATAGTTTTTAGTGCTTTAAATGAAATGAAATGAAATGAAATGGGGTTTAACTTCTACTGTTCTGCTCCAAACTGGGCTAATAAAGACGGGCATACGTCATACAGTGGGCTATGAGGAAAATTTTGCCAGGACAGCGGCACTACGGCCTACTCGTATATCGAATTCCAACTGTCAAGGGATCTTTTACATGCACGCCAATGTGTACACTGGAATTCGATATAAGAGTAGGCTGTAGCGCCGCTGCCCGGGCAAAATTTCTCTCATAGCACACTGTATGGCGTATGCCCGTCTTTCAATTAGCCCAGGTTAGGTGCAGAAGAGTAGGACGTTAAACCCCATTTCATTTCATTTGAAACCATTTTATTTCAAGATTTAGCACATAAACAATTTCAGTTCAAGAGATAAAACACCTTATCGGATATCTCTTTATTCTAAGAAATGAAAAAAAGAAGATTTATCACAATCCGATACAAAGATCAGGGTTCACTATCTATTCATGTTATCTTATTTTCTTCTTTTTTTTTCTTTTCAATCCAATATTCTTTTTCTCATTCGATTTCTGATATAATAACTTTGTTTTTAATCTTTTCGTTACTGGTCGCTGTGGTCAACAGTTTCTGTGGTCATTTCTATTTCAGGCTATTTTGATAGTAAAATGGGTTTCATGGAAAGTTTAAGGAGTGTATGATTTCTTGGTGACCCGTCCCCAATTAGTTCTAGGTCCCCAGCTTACTATTCCCATTCCATTCTGGGTTATTATGAACTGGTGACTCCGCCACACAAAATGAGAACATGGAGAGAGAGAGAGAGTCAACCAATAAGACTGGATCATTTCACAGAAACTAGACATGAGGCAACCCTTTTAGATCAGAATCTCAACTTCTGTTCATCTTTCTATAAAGCATCACCCAATGAAACTACTTATCACTCTGCTTAACCTGAGCAGAAAATTTTCAGCGTAGAACTTAAGACAAGGTATTCAGCTAATGAACATCTACACCAAGTTGAAACATTCTACTTCAAATAGAAATGAAATGAAATGGGGTTTAACGTCCTACTGATCTGCTCCGAGTGGGCTAATGAAGATTGGCATACACCATATCAAATTCCAGAGCCCCATTTTAACCCATGAGTTTTATATTTATGTAGTTGTAAATGAAATGAAATGAAATGAAATGAAATGAAGTTTAACGTCCTACTGTTCTGCTCCTATACTGGGCTAATGAAGACGGGCATATGCCATACAGTGTGCCATGAGGGAAATTTTGCCCGGGCAGCGGCACTATCGCCTACTCTTATATCGAATTCCAACTGCCAAGGGATCTTTTACGTACATGCCAATGTATACACAGGACCTCATTTTTTTGTCCCATCCAAATGACTAGACAGCTGCCCATGTCAGGCCCTCCGCCCTGCACCACTGATAAGTGGAAACCCTGACAGAAAATCCTGATGAACTTTCTCTGCCAATTCAGGGATTGAACCCCTGACCTCCAGGCTAGCGAGCCAGCATCTTACCCACTTCAATTAGAAGAAGAGCTATTAATTTCTAAAGAAATCAACAGACTTATGAACCCACATTAATTAATAATCTCTTGCTTTATCCAAAGGAACATTTCAATAATATACATGTACATGTGTGTTTAAGGATGTAAAGCCTAATACGAAGATGAAATCCTATTATCTGGGATTATAAATACCTCCATGATATTTATATATTTACAATCTTCTCTAGTTCAAATATTTATACAATGAAATACATGTATCACAGTACAAATAAATCATTACTAATTCTACATGTTGAGTATCTCTAAAGTCCATTGGATAAATACAAGGTGTGTGGAGATTTAAGTCAAGGTATTAATTTGAATCAAACATTTCCTGCACCTACTCTACTTGAGATAGAGTGAAATGGGGTTTACCATCCACTTGACACAAAACTAGGTCATTTCTGGACTAGCAGGGTAAAATTTTAATAAATCGTTTCCGTATAGTGCTAGCAGTGGAAGGAAACCAGAGGACCTGGAGAGAACCCACAAGGTTAGACAGGTGACCCTTCTCCTTGTCACGTGTAAGTGTGAGATTGAAACCATGCCACTTGAATCAATGACAGAGCTTATGATCCAACCTGTACGTGTTAGACCATATGGCCAGCCAACCCCCTTACTCTAAGTTCCAAATGACCTGGAGAAAACCCACCAGAGGACCTGGAGAAAACCCATAAGGTTAGACAGGTGACCCTTCTCCTTGTCACATGTAAGTGTGAGATCGAAACCATGCCACTTGAATCAAGGACAGAGCTTATGATCCAACCTGTACGTGTTAGACCATATGGCCAGCCAACCCCCTTACTCTAAGTTTCAAATGACCTGGAGAAAACCCACCAGAGGACCTGGAGAAAACCCACAAGGTTAGACAGGCGACCTTTTCCTTGCCACGTGTAAGTGTGAGATCGAAACCATGCCACTTGAATCAATGACACGTTAGACCATAGCCACTCAACCCCCTTACTCTAAGTTTTAAATGAAATGTAGTTTATCATCGTTTATTTCTATTCCTTCTGGGCTAATGAAGTGTGCTATGAATGGAATCTTACCATGACAGTCAGTCTACTTTGTATCTTTTCAATATATTGCTTAATATGAACAGACTTTACTAAGAGGCTGTTTAAACTTGAATTTAAGGCAGTCAGATTGAGAATGTCCTTAATGACAGGAGTTGATAGTGTTTGGAAGCATAAAATACAAACAGATGTGGTCAGCTTCCTTTTTCCTATAAAATGAAGGCCATGACAGTATAACATGAATACTGACTAAGCTTAATAAACCAAACCACTACTTTTTTTACTTATTTTAAATGGGGGGGGGGGGGAGGGGTCTTACTTACATTATAAATTATGTCAATTTAGACTTACTGAGGGTTTTTTTTTTGTTTCAGTCTTCTTCTAAATTAGCAATTATTTGGTCTCCACTGGCTGTTTTTGTTTTTGTTTTATTTTAATTCAGAAGTGCAACCCAGTGTTTAGTTTCTTAATACGGTAATTTGAAAGGCATTTTAAACATACATGTACTGTATTTCTTATGATCTACACTGACGGTTTTTGTTTCAAAATTCAGGAGCAACCTGATTCTAACTATTTTAAAAAAAAAAAAATTCAAATTCAGGATCAATCAGGTGTTATTTATTTTAATGTGGTTGATATAACCAGTTGTTTAGTGTTATTAGAATATCAAATTAATAATAACCTCAGATATCCACCTTGAGAGATTATAATTACCATATATCATATATCTAATAACGATGCATTACATGCCTGACTGTGTATTGCAATAATATCAAAGATATTGATTTTAAGATTATTAAGCAAGATATTTATGAATAACTGACAGTATCTCTCAAATTGATATTAGCATTATTTTCGGAGAAAAAGCACACAACCCATATGCATAGAAACGTACTTCACTTAAAAAATGGAACTGATTGTAAAGTTGAAATCCCAGTTTGAATGACAACAGTTTTCATTCCCCAAGAGAAAGTAGGATTTAACATATATTCAAAATAAACTAGGCCATTGTGGGACTAACATATGATACATGTAGATCATCTCAGTAATAATAATAGTTATAGGGTTGCTTAGCTACAGATATCAACAGTTCTAATCACAACACAGATAATCTGAAACATTCAGTTTAGTACGCAACAAGGAATAGGGTTGCCTGTCCGACCTCATGGGTTTACTCAGGTCCACCTGTTTCCTCCCACTTATAAAGACCGCTACACGGAAGCAAATTATTGAAATAAAATTAAACCATATGTAAGTCCTGATATGATCTAGTTTGTTGCGTAGACGTTAAACCCCATTTCTCTCTCTCAAAATGTGGTCAAAATTGATTACTGAACATTTAATTAAGAACACAAAATCCAAATAATCTAATCTAGTGGCTTGGATCTAACTGGATGAAAGAGATGTCCATTAAAAGATTAGATAAAAGTCATTAAGGACATCGGCTTGTATCTTCTGCGGTGGAAGACCAATGTTGACAAATTTTCAAATCATCATATCTTTGTAAATACTGAACAAAATTGAACCATTTTTGAACTGATATTCCTTTTAGAGATTCAATTTTTACAATATTGTAATTTACAAGGGAACTTTCAATCCTCTCACATGAGGTTCACAGACTTTAAATAAGCAAGAATTTAGATAAAAAGAGAATATACAAAATAAAACAGCTGAAACAATTAGATTATATCATATTTAGTTTATATTTATATCTGAAACATCTAGTTTAATAATACTAGTATCTGAAATAATTAATATTAATATTTGAAATATTTTAAGTAGTAATATCAATATTTGATATATTTAGTTTAGTAATATCAATATCTGAAACATTTAGCTTATTAATATCATATCAATATCTGAAACATTTAGTAATATCAATATCTGAAACATTTAGCTTAGTAATATCATACCAATACCTGAAACATTTAGTAATATCAATATCCGAAACAGTTAGTAATATCAATATCTTAATCATTTAGCTTAGTAATAGTAATATTAATGTCTGATATATTTAATTTAGTAATATTAATATGTGAAATATTTAGTTAAGTATCTGAAATACATTTAGTTTAGTATCTGAAACATTTAGTTTAGTATCTGAAACATTTAGTATCTGAAACATTTAGTTTAGTATCGGAAACATTTAGTTTAGCATCGGAAACATTTAGTATCTGAAACATTTAGTTTAGTATCTGAAACATTTAGTTTAGCATCGGAAATACATTTAGTTTAGTATCTGAAACATTTAGGTTA